CAGACATTGAGTATCTTACGTAGACAATTGTTTATAAATACCTGTACCATTTTGATTATGGTTGTAGTAGTTCTGGAAGATTCAGCAGCGTACAGTAGAACTGTCTTGACATTCTTATTGAAGATTGTGACTTTGATATTGGTTGAGAGGAAGTTGTTTTGAGTTGCATATGTTGTTCAACTGTAGGGATGCTGTCCTTACTTTGCCAATCCTTGTCTCTACGTGTGCATCAGATCCTCCACGTTCATCGATGATACTGTCCAGACAGGTACGTGAATGTTTACACCTATTGCAGAGCTTCTCCATCAAGTGTGATTGTATTGTTGTTCTCCATGTTGTGTTTGAGGATGTTTCTTCCGCTATCGTTGCAGAGGTTGCTGCTGCTACTACACTACTTGCCTTGACCTGCATTCGTTTGTGTGTATGGGATGGAAAGTGGTAGGTGATCTGTGAAGTTCAAATTGTCTAGTTGCATGCCAATCGTCCATTACATCCCATGCTTTCCATCAGATATGGAGGTCTTCCTAATCCAGTCGACCACCAGAAGCAATAGCAATGCTAGAGGTAAAGAGTAAGCAGCATTGTCTGACTCCGGTGTTTACTTAGAATATGCCTGTGAGCTTTCCTCCATACACCACTTTGCAGTGTAGTTCGTCGTATGAATTCCAGATAACGTTGATGATCTTTCCAAGTACTCACTCCATAGTGTCGAAGAAGTTTCCTTGCGGTTTTTTTATTCACACTGTCAAACACTTTCTTATAGTCAAAGGAACTGGTGTATAGTGACGAGTTCCATTCAACTGATTGTTCAACGATGATCCGTGCTGTCACGATTTGGTCTGTGCACGACCCATCATTACGCAATCCGATCTGTTGGTCTCAAAGATGGATGTCTACTCAGTCCTTCATCCGATTCAGCAACACTATTGAAGACGTTTCTTCTGTACTTGAATCTCAGTGATTATCTCACCTTCTTTGTGCTTGAACGATTCCTCCGGTGTACTATATTTTCCTAACAGTTTGTTCATCGTGTCATATAGTTGCTTCATATTTCCTTTACGTGCAGCTGTTTCCACTGTAATTGCTTCGTGATATTTTCATATCCAGTGTTATCCATTCTGACGTTGGTGTTTAAGTTAACCGTGAGTATGGTTTGTCGTTTCCTGACCACTTCACCATGATCGACTGCAGTCTCTCATAAAACTGATCACTATCGTTATCATTTCTATCACTGATGGGTTCACAACATTGGATAGCATTCATTGTAATATCCTCCTTCTCTCTTTCCAATGACGCTTTGATGATTGTGGATCCATGAGATTGCTATCTTGTAATTGCTTTAGGTGCTTCTCTGAATAGCATCAGAGCAACTCTGTGAGTGTGTGGAGCATTTGCATCTTCGCGATCAGAGCACTGCAGCATCTTCTCGAATCGAATCTAATCTATTCTGTTCAGTTTGGCTTCAATGGATTGTACTGATTCCGAGCACGATGAAGTTATATCTCCTCATTTCCGTAGCTTTTCGACTGGTCCTTCCGGACTCACACACTGTCCGAGCATTCCATGTACCCATACTAGTTGCAGCTGTGGTTATTAGAAGGAGTATCGTTCTGATGATTTGCGAAGAATCTCGGGTTTCACCATGAGGTGTCATAATTCTTCTGTATGATGATGCTTCAACTCGGAAGACATAGTTTAGATGTTTTTAATTGTTTTTTTCTGGTAAATGTTTTTAGCAATGTTTTTTTTCCACGGATTGGGGATGCTTATCTTTCGCCCAACCCTTCTTCTTTGCGTGGGCTAGGGACCGGCAGTTACCGTAGGAGAGCTACTGGCGGAGCTCATTATTAATGCATATGGCTGAAAATTTTTTGGGGACAAGCAAATAACTCCTCTGTTTATTTTTCATTCTCAGTAAAAAGATGTTTTAAAATCCCATTCCTCAACTCGTTTACTTCAGTTTTTACTATAATTATATTTATTAAACGACCAATTTATCTTAAATTACTGAACTTGGAAAACCCAATTAATAATACAATTCTTATAGATTGCTAGTGTACAAACAATCGGAAATAGAAGTGAGCCTAGGTTTCAGTTTCTGAACGAAAAAAACAGTTTACTTTTCATACTCTTCTTTATCGTAAATTTTCTTTTTTATGTATGCAAGTTCATCAAATAACTTGATTTGTCATGTCACCTTGTTCTAAACCAGTAAAATTAACCAGATACAGTGCGTAAATAACTGCTATTCATAGACCTTTATTGTCCAATTTACAGTAGATTTAGAATAGTTAAAATGTGGTAGGCAAATCTCACTATTATATATATGGTATATACTATAGAGAGTGAGAGTTGTGTGTCCTTTTGTTTCAGCAGTTTATCACATGAATATGAAAACTAATAAAATAAAACATGAATGATAGTTAGTAGTATCTATAAGTTTTCACGTTTATATACGTATAACTCCTTTTTTTCATGTTTAAACTAATCAATTAAATCAATATTTGTGAGATTATTCTCTTGCAAATTATTGAATGATTGTTTATAAGAATAAATGGTCATATGAACAGGCTTGAAGTTATTATCATTATTACTATTACTTTTATTATTACTATTAATAAAATGATCACTATTATTATTATTGGCTATTGTTTATACTCTTAACAAGTACTTAAAAAAGACTTAATTTTAATTTCTTAAAAACTGTATTTAAAAATTTATGCGACATTAATTATCGAATGGATACATGAAAAGCGCCGAATTTCATTCATTTAAAGGCTAATAACCCAATCTAAAAATACTGATTTATCTACAAGCTATATAGATAACTATGTTATTCTTAAATATCAAGTGGTTGTTTGTTAAGTTAATCAATGGAATTTACCAGTTCTTTCTAACCTCCAAGATATTTATCAACTATGTAAACGTTGAAGAATAATTAATTAAGTAATTTTAATAGTTGAGATCACGAGTCAACTAAAGCGAGGGATCGTGGATGCGCATTGCTGAAGAGTCCCACAATAGGACGAAACGGCCGTCAAGTACTTCCAGGTTTTCCATGGTGGTCTAGCTTCAAATGACTGATGAATTCAACTGTTAAAATTACTATAATATCCACAAAAACACCTTATATTAATCAACATATGCTCACAAATGACTGGCTTCGAGAGGTATTTCCTGGAGTTTTAGTGAGAAGCAGTGACCAATGGAGTTCAACTGGATCTGTTGTGGGATAGTTACTCACTGTAACTCACTATTAAAATTACTATAATATCTACAAACACCCTCTGATATTAATTAATTAAGTGTTATCTCTTGAAGCATTTGACATGGTGGATACCAGAACATTATGGCATCTTCGTCGACATTGCGATGTACCTGTCAAGATTGTTACAATCATACGGAATTATTACAACTGACTATACAGCAAAGTGGTGTATGGAGAAAGCTCACAGGCATATTCTAAGTAAACACCGGAGTCAGACAATGCTGCTTACTCTTTACCTCTAGCATTGCTATTGCTTCTGGTGGTCGACTGGATTAGGAAGACCTCCATATCTGATGGAAAGCATGGGATGTAATGGACGATTGGCATGCAACTAGACAATTTGAACTTCACAGATCACCTACCACTTTCCATCCCATACACACAAACGAATGCAGGTCAAGGCAAGTAGTGTAGTAGCAGCAGCAACCTCTGCAACGATAGCGGAAGAAACATCCTCAAACACAACATGGAGAACAACAATACAATCACACTTGATGGAGAAGCTCTGCAATAGGTGTAAACATTCACGTACCTGTCTGGACAGTATCATCGATGAACGTGGAGGATCTGATGCACACGTAGAGACAAGGATTGGCAAAGTAAGGACAGCATCCCTACAGTTGAACAACATATGCAACTCAAAACAACTTCCTCTCAACCAATATCAAAGTCACAATCTTCAATAAGAATGTCAAGACAGTTCTACTGTACGCTGCTGAATCTTCCAGAACTACTACAACCATAATCAAAATGGTACAGGTATTTATAAACAATTGTCTACGTAAGATACTCAATGTCTGCTGACTGGTTATCACCAGCGACAGTGTACTGTGTCAGAGAACAAACCAGGTTTGAGGTGATGAGGAAATTGGGAAAAGATGTTGGAGGTGGATAGGACACACATTGAGGAAATTGTCAAACTGCATCACTAGGCAAGTGCTAACTTCGAATCGTGAAGTATAACGGAAAGGAGTAAGACGAAGGGACAAACTGTGTGGATAATTGGAAGCAGACATGAGAAGGATGAACAGCACTTGGAAACAACTTGAAAGCATTGTTCAGGACAGAGTTGGATGGAGAATGCTGGTGATTGTCCTTTGATCCTCCTCAAGGATTAACGGGCGTATATAGGGAAGTAAGTAAATAAATGATTCGGGAAGCAGAGGATCTGTTTGCGTCATTTTTGTTGGACTGAGAAATAATCATCGTTCACGGTATAGGGTTATGGACATTGTCGCGTTTTAACTGAGTTCATAAACTGATCGATTTCAGACTTCCAATGAAAACCTGGACGCACTTTCTGACCTCCGTGTCATATTGTGATACTCTTCTGCAGTGTGCATTCACGACCTCGCAGGCAGGGTATAGACGTTTTTTCATAGTTTCCCTCGCAAGAGCAGTCGAATGAAGAGATTGCAAAGAACGAAGTGTCAATTGTTCTGGAATTATACATGTATATATTTGATTCAGCATAAATAAATTTATAACATACTAGAAGGTGAATATGGTTTTTTGTTATTTATTTATAGATTATATAAATAATATAGTTCATAATCTCAGAGAATTTTGGTTTATCTATCCCTCTTCATTAATTATAATTTGTTCACAAAAATAAGCAGTAAGAAATTTTTTACAATCCATCATAGTTCTATGAAATGTAGTAGTATGTGTAAAATAAATGTAGAGATTGTGGTTTTTGATAAGCCAAAACTTCAAAGTATCATTCACTGCCTTGCTATAAGTATTATTTATCATCATTGAGTACTGAGGATGACGATCTCTTGGTTTCTACAAATGAGATGATAGGAGTAATTTGAGTTGAAGTCATAATATTTGTGGTAAAATATAAACGAATTAAGAAGATAAACAAGTTTGAAAAGAAAAATACAAGAAATTTGAATCCAACTGTTTTGTTATCACCATCTATTCATAAAGGACTTCTTATGTGGCCTTGTTTGTAGATATGTAAGTTTTATCGAATTCTTTCTCATCGTCTGGATCATGTAGATAAGTTTGTGAATTGTCACTTTCATTATCTTTAGATAGTCGATATGTGTTCATTACTCCAAATCCAAAATAAAGTATCAGACCTTGTATAAATATGAAACAATAAAGAAATTCAGTATAACTTCAGGATACATTATTTAAAATTATGCAATCTAAATTATGTATAAGAATGATCGTCGATAGTTGACTTCTGTTTACTGAAAATGACTTTTTATTTCACTGAGTAATTTTGAAAATTTAAGGCCTATAAAATTCAAACCAAACTTGAGAAGAAAAATGTGTCAGTTACGTTCTCAACTTAGATTTTCTATTTTTAACCAGTTTGTTAACCTGCATTATACAAAAGTTTAATTACACTAATAAATGTTAATTATCAGATGGGTTTTGTAGATATCATAGTCACTCAATTTCGTGGATTAGTTGAAGCTAGACATTAACACCGTTGGATGCCGACCAGCTCAGTGTTCTAGTGGTTAAGTGCTCGCGCGCAAAACCAGCAGGTCCTGAGTTCGAATCTCGCAGGGGGCGAGGTCGTGGATGCGCACTGCTGAGGAGTCCCACAATAGGACGAAACGGCCGTCCAGTGCTCCCAGGTTTTCCATGGTGACTCATGATCTTAACCATTGAAATGTTGATTATTATTTTGTGAGTCGACTGATAGAAATTTAGAATATGCTGACAGAAGGGATGATCTATAAAAAAAATTTAACTGGAAAAAATATTCGTTCGTTAGGTTAAGTGAAGATTTCAACATGAATAAAATAAATTGGAAACAATTCTCATAATTAGCAACTTGAAATTTAATATACTGATTGTATCGTCGGGATTTCATTTAAATCACAACTCATTTACATAATTTTTTAGAGTCAATTTTGAAAAAAAATGTATTAATTATTTCATTAGCCTCAATGTACTAATCGTATCGAAAATCACTTTCTCGATGAGCTTTAAATAGGTATTTTACAGTGAACTCATATCAAAGATTAGTTTGTTTTTACCATAATAAAAATAATCTTTTGAAATAAAGCTCAGATAATACTAGTTGGTTAAGTATGGGATATCTGTACAATAATGGTCAAATTTTAGTGTTATATTAAAGTAATATTGATTAGCACCTAATGACTTGTCGTTATCTACAACAGGTAGCTATATTCGCTTGGCATTTTTAAGAAATACTAGGTTATTTTGTTCGGTATTAGAGTGAATTTTCTAAGAATGAAGAATTCTATGACTGAGTTTTAACCACATTCTAAGAGTTTACGGGTTTTCAAACTCACACTTGTATTTATAAAACAACACACAAAGTACTTACCGATTACTATCCAAATAGTAAATCTTATCCAGGTAACCCATGAAAGCTCACTGATCAAAAATACGTTTATAGTTAACGTTGCACATGGGATGAACGGAACATAGGGAAGCTGTAAATAAAATATTAACTCTGATATAACAGATGGTTTAAAAACTTTTTCTCGGGTATACTACGATAATACGTTATACGATAACGAGACTAATCATGTTATATCAGATCCAAGATTCACGACCCAGAATAGAGAACCAGATTAACACCAGATATCCTTTATTCAACACAGTTACAAGCAGTCACACTCAGTGAGTCCGGACTGGAAATTAATGAGAGGATAGGAAATCACATATTTAATAGTCAGTAGGTTAAGTGCCTGTTCGTCCACGCTCACCGACTAGTTATATTTTACTTTCACTACCACACTATTGGATGCCATCACAGTGATTTGCTGGTTAAGTCATCGCTCCGAGATTTGTATCTGATCCCCTGTAGTGGGGTCCAGGATGCCCACTGCTGAGTAGTCCCATACCACGATGAAACAGATGTCTAGTTCTCCCTAGTTTTAAATGGTGAAGTCAGTTCGTGACGTAAACTATAAAACTAATCGAAGCATTCAATAAAATATCTTCGATAATTTTGATTTTGATTATTTTTTTGTAAAAGTTCGGATCAAACTAGGTAGCGAAAGGTTAGAGTTATTAAATTTCAGCTGGTAAGATCGTTAATGATATAGTTTTATTTCAAATAATTCCGCCTGTTAAACAGTTCTTTATCAACATATAATCTATGAATAAAATTGCCAGTTGATCTAACTTGACTACTGGAGGATTTGACGCTTATTGAACGTTTGCTAATTATGAAAACGTATCGTTCAATACCAGGAGATAAGTTATTGAAACTACAAGTTCCAGTTGTTAAAAGTATCCTCGTGTAATTAGGTCCACTGATCAAGGAGATAAATGGTTGAATACTCTTCAAACAACCATTAAGAGTTGTCCGGAAAACATTTAATTAACCGGATACGGTTAGATAATTGTGATTAAAATCATTCTAATCTCCATAGTTTAAAGGATAATTTTTGATGCTTGATTGCGTGTTTATTCAATAAATAGATTACCATTACTAGGCTACATAAAAATGAATTTTACAGTTATCGTTATCAAATTTCATCCAATTTTACATAGGAAGTACATAATTGCAATCATAATAAGTTATTCTATAATGAATCTGTTTATAGTAATATTATATGTAACTACTGCATAAGTAACTAACTGGAATTATTAGTTGCACACTGTCTGATATGCATTAGATTACCATTCAGTTCTCATTATCTTTGATAAGACCAAAAAGTTCAAATGTAACACAAATGAAAATTATGTGAAAAATTGAAACTCTTGTTTCCGTTACATATTAGAAATTGAATATATACATTTTAATTACTAATGGAAATAGACTAATTATCTTTACATAAATCAACGTCATAAATCTGATTAGTATGTATAAAATTTAAGTCCATCAATATCTACTAACCATATCTTTTGAATGTATATTACTGAACATAACAATTTATGAAATCAGGCTCTTTAAATGATTGACAAAGTTCTTTAATTTGAACTACATGTTTTACTTAAAGTGGAAATGATGACTAATGTTTTCATTTCTTATTTGGTTTAAACAATTCAGCTTCGATGCCTTTATAAGATCACCTCGGATGATTAACGTAAATATCTCAATAAGGTTTAAAGATTCCCAACAGTTTTCAAATAGAAAATAATGATCAAGTTTTACAAGGGTACAAACTAAATTTGTCATTTTGTTGGCAGTTTTCTTCAGTCCTCTAGAATAAAACTTTTTCCACTTTTGTTAAGATCAGTTGATCAAAGATTTGAGTTGACTCATTCTAGAATTTGACACAAGATGTTATCAGTATGGAGTTGCGTATATTGTTGGGTTATTGATTGAGATAATGAGTCGATCAATGTTATTCTGCAATAAAGTGTTACCCACGCAAGTGATCAAACTGAGTTTCTTGTTTTGTGGACTTTGATCAAAGCTTTAAAGACAACATCACTTACTAAGTATACAGCCTGTAAATACTTTTAAATTTGTATGAAATCAAGTGATAAAACAAACTTAGTTATCATCCTTGCATAGTGAGTGTCCTTTTCATCTTAGCAATTTACAATAATGTGCTGACGTTATTATTCATTAAGATAAGGGGTTGAACGTTGATGTTTTGATAACTACTGAGCTAAAATGTCTATCAACTTAAATTGTCTACATCGAAGTTTAGGTCTATTCTCTGTTACACTGAAGTTATACCAATATCATATTTTAAAACGTGAAAAAACTTACTTGGAACAAACCTTTGTAAGGTGGTCCAAATTGTTTAAAAATGCTCATCAATACTATACAGGATATCAGTAATGCTAAAATGAATACTACACAAACAATTCTCCATATTGGCCACAATTCATGTTTCGCTCCTATTGTCAAACACATAATTAAAACACCATTTAATACGATATAAGTAGCCATGATCATAACAACTGTATCACCAGGTGAACCGGAATTGAAAATCTTCAATATACAATTAGGTATACAACGAGCATAACGATATTTTACAAATCCTGGTTTATCAATACGTTTTTTGAAATGTTCCACTTGTTTAACAGGCTTTAAAAAAGTAATAATTCAACAAAAATCTGATGTTATCAAAACGAAATACTCTTTTAAGATGAATAAATTAATTTTGAAAAGAGCAAGAACAAAGATTCTAGCAGAATAACATGAATTCATTTTATTTCGTAGGTTCTCGTCAGCTGCTTACAACCTATAGTATTTAAAAGATAAAAATTACATAATGGGTTTGAATTGCTTACATGAGAGGGTTTATATTTAAGAAATGTTCGTAAAGTATGACATGGGTGTAAATGAATTAATAGGCTGAATATTGTAAATATATACCTAATGTGAAAGAATGTTCTAGAGCATTAATTGTGACAACAGTTCAAAGAGGTAGAAACAATTGATTACATAATGAATAAACATTGATAGGAACATAGTGAGTAGAGTTCAGTTGAAAGACTATTAATTTTTTAAAGATAGTTGAAAAAATAAAATCAATGACGTAATAAATATAAAAATAAAATTTTATTTTTAAGCTGCAGCGGAAGAATATTTGTCACCAAGGCAGGGAAAGATTAACAATCATCTCCTTCTGAACACATAAATCAGGTTTTTGGCGCCTGATAGCAACTGCTTCAGCAAACTTCAGAAGACTGGAGTTTGGCTGCTTACTAATAACCTTGAATGATTGTAGGGTGTCAACCTGATGGCCTGTGTCAAGCAGATGTTTAGTGATTGCGCTTTCTTTCTCTTATTCTGAGGTTTTTTGGGACATGTTCAAAAAATCTGAGGTATGCCCTCCTTTCTGTTCGGCCAATGTAGCTGCTTTGGCAGGTACATGTAAATTTATAAATACAATTGGCGGTAACATGAAAAGGATGCTTATCAACCTTTGATTGAGTTAATGAACATGTTGTTTTATAAAGAATTTGAAGTTTCGCCGCTGGATAGGTTCTGGCTAGCGCAGTATTTAGTCTCCTGTTGATTGTGTTAGCAACATCGTCACCTTTGAAATTAAGACTTATAGTTATTGGTTTTTTATTGACAGTAATTACTTCAGTATTATTTTCTTTACGCTTTTTATATTTTTCAATAAACTTTTGTGGGTAATAGTTGTCTCGTAGGCATTTTTGTACGTTCATCAATTCTTCTTCCAGCTTATCAGTGGTACAAATCTTTTCTGCCCTATAAAATAGTGTTTTAACTAGTGCCTTCTTGTAGCTGAGTGGACAAAAACTATTGAAATTCAGGTAAAGGCCATTCCAAGTACTTTTTCGATAAAGCGAACGTTGGACTGTCCCGTCTCTCCTACGTTTTATAGCAACATCAAGAAAGTGGAACATGTCATTCTGTTCGTGTTCCATAGTAAATTGAATGTTTGGATGTGCATTATTGAAGAGTTCTAGCAGGCGGATTGCATGCTGTTTATTGTTGCAGACAATGAACGTGTCATCAACATATCTGGAATATTCCGTCGTTTCGCTAATCGCCTGATTAAGCACCATGTTTTCAAGATATCCCATAAAAATATCTGCCAGAATTGGACCTAGTGGGCTTCCCATTGCTACGCCGTCGATTTGACGATATATGGTGTTATTAAACTGGAATTGGACGTCTGTTGTGCACATTAATAGTAGTTTTTTGAATTCTGGGGCTGGTAAAGGTAGGAGATCATAATTCTGACAAATTATGTCAATAGTTTCAAAGAGTGGTATATTGGTGAATAAGGATGTGACATCAAAAGAAACCATAAACTTATCGGTAACATTCATACGATTTAGTCTATCAGCAAACTGGAATGAATCTTTTAACGTATATGTTGCTAATCTCCGACGAATCGGCTCTAGTTTTACTGCTAACCACCGTGCAACTTTATGATACGGTGAGTTGATCATTGATAGGATAGGTCATTTATAATAAAAAACTTGTATTATAGCATGTTAGATTTCATGAGAAAAGCAAATGATTACTAGTAATTGTTCATTTGGAATTAATAATACTATGGTGTATGCTACTTATGTTGACATCGGAAGTGGAAGGTCTGGCAGCAGGTCGGGAAGATTGAGTTGAAGAGAACGGGAACAGAGAGTAATTGTTACGGTAATGAAGGAACGGTATAGTTTGATACAATTGATGGAGGATTTATAAATGAAGTATTGGACGTATGGTTTTCATATTTGACCAAAGAACATTGCTTGTCCTTACATGTGTTCTCGTTCATTACAATAAGATTCAGGAAATATATTTAATTCTGCATGACATTCATTAATTGTGATAAATACTAATCATTACAGTAAGTCAGTAGGCACCGGTTAGTGAGATTGGTAAGTACTTTACAAGAAAATCAACAAGGACAATTCACAGAAATTACTGTTAGCCACAAGTAAAATAATATGATTGTAAATTATTCTACAGTATTAAGTCATTTGCACAGTCAGTTCATATATATTAATATAGACAGATCTATTTGTTTGGGTGATTCGACAGCAACAAGTACTAATGTGTACTAATGTTGACCATACAATATTTTCGGATAATCTACAAAATCCAAATGTATTTGAAATTTTTAGATAAATACAGCCAGTACTCTACTGGCAGGAAATTACTAACAGATATAGTGATGCATGAATCTCTGCCTGTACCTGGTTAATATGAGGATACAACTTATGATGTTGTTCTTTTTTCCTTGGAATAAACTGTCTGAATAAACGATTCCGGGGAACGTTGATCTTTAATTCCACCATTTATCAATCAAAAATAGGCAAATCAACCTAGAAAGCAGAATTCACATTTGTATCCTATACAACATGTTTATAACTTGTTTGTACACTAGTAAAACATTAATTTTATAGATTAATAACAGACAAACAAATTTAATTACCTTATCCTTTTCAATGCTGTCTGTTTGTATTTGATCAGTTTCAGTCAATATTTGTGGACTATCAGATTGCTTCCTGTAACGTATACATATAATAGCTATTGCAGTAATGGAATAAGCGATTAACGTCCCTAAGCTCATAAAATCGGCTAAACTATCCACACTGAAAATCAATGTTAGTAAGGCTGTTATAATTGTGACGAATGTTGTTGAAATGGCAGGTGTCTAAAATAAAAATATAAGACGAAAAGTTTAGTACTATAATAGTATTTTGTCAATATATTTTTGAGTAAGTTAACCTTCACAGTCAGTCATATTTCTATTTAGCATTTTCTAAAAATGAGATTAACTTGTCAGTTAGGTGCATTTTTTTAAATTTGAGCAAGTATTCCTGAAATTAGATCAAAAGTTTTGGTTGCACGGAATGTAAAATAACCCAAAATGGTTACTTAAACATCATCATGAATACAATTTCAGATATTGACTTATTCTACTCTGATTCCTATTTACGGTAAGCTATAGTCCATCGGAAATATCAGGAATCAGATAACTGAAAAAAATAAGCGGAAATATTCTACATATCAAGCGTGATTTCAATCAATTCGTATTATTACTTCTTTTGCTTTTTGCAGAACATCTTATAAGAATGGTTAAACGTCAAAATTAAGTGTTCATTAGTTGTATATTTGTGTTTTCAACACACAATTCCATAGTGACAAAGAAGCTTCCATAGTGTTTTCCTATTCACACAGTCAAACACTTTCTTATAGTCAAAGGAACTGGTGTATAGTGATGAGTTCCATTCAACTGATTGTTCAACGATGATCCGTGCTGTCACGATTTGGTCTGTGCACGACCCATCCTTACGCAATCCGATCTGTTGGTCTCAAAGATGGATGTCTACTCAGTCCTTCATCCGATTCAGCAACACTATTGAAGACGTTTCTTCTGTACTTGAATCTCAGTGATTATCTCACCTTCTTTGTGCTTGAACGATTCCTCCGGTTTACTATATTTTCCTAACAGTTTGTTCATCGTGTCATATAGTTGTTTCATATTTCCTTTACGTGCAGCTGTTTCCACTGTAATTGCTTCGTGATATTTTCATATCCAGTGTTATCCATTCTGACGTTGGTGTTTAAGTTAACCGTGAGTATGGTTTGTCGTTTCCTGACCACTTCACCATGATCGACTGCAGTCTCTCATAAAACTGATCACTATCGTTATCATTTCTATCACTGATGGGTTCACAACATTGGATAGTATTCATTGTAATATCCTCCTTCTCTCTTTTCAATGACGCTTTGATGATTGTGGATCCATGAGATTGCTATCTTGTAATTGCTTTAGGTGTTTCTCTGAATAGCATCAGAGCAACTCTGTGAGTGTGTGGAGCATTTGCATCTTCGCGATCAGAGCACTGAAGCATCTCTCTCGAATCAAATCTAATCTATTCTGTTCAGTTTGGCTTCAATGGATTGTACTGATTCCGAGCACGATGAAGTTATATCTCCTCATTTCCGTAGCTTTTCGACTGGTCCTTCCGGACTCACACACTGTCCGAGCATTCCATGTACACATACTAGTTGCAGCTGTGGTTGTTGGAAGGAGTATCGTTCTGATAATTTGCGAAGAATCTCGGGTTTCACCATGAGGTGTCATAATTCTTCTGGATGAAGATGCTTGAACTTGGAGTGCATAGTTTAAATGTTTTTAACTGTTTCTGGTTGACGTTTTTTAGTAATGCTGTTTTCTACGGAATTGGGATACTAACCTCTTGCCCGAGTCTCTCCGTCTACTCGGATTTCGGACTGCCAGTCGCCCTAAAAGAGCTATGGGTGGAGTTATTCATTTTATATGATCTCTATATGTTCTCGATTTAAGATCGTTGTTTTAAACAGTAGGTGTTATTATACATTTTCCTATCTTCAAATCACTATAAATTAATTATTAACCCGTTTTATTCCCATTTTCACAGTAAATATTGTAGTTGCGTAAATGTTGCAATTTCCAATTTATGATGCGTTGAGATCCTGTATTTTGTATATATAATCATCTGAATTTTAGATTCAACCTAATAAACAATATATCGGTTGTCTTTGAGGCTTGGGGATTGAATTCCACTTTGGTCAATAAGCGTCAGCTTATCAGGTCACCGGGTTTCAGCATTTATATTATTGGTTCAAGTATGAAAGAGTAAGGTCGTATTAAGCACCACTAAAAACTGATAAAAATCAAACTGTTCTTCCACCCTAATTTTGGACGCTTAGAGAGAAAGTACTATCTTGTGTTCTACTGGTTTTCGATGGTTTACCGGCTTGTGAATTTCAATGAAACAAATTATCATCAAATATATATATCGATAATATGAATAATGAACTTACTTTAAAAGGTTGACAAAGATGGGAACAAATAGTCGGAATAAGACCATCTTGAGCCATAGCATAACTAATTCTTGGTGCAGCAACTAATGAAGTAATTAAACAGGCAATTAATCCAATTAATGATCCAACACCAACAAAATAAAACATTCCAGTTCGTACATTTTCTGGTCCACCATTTAGCGTATTACCTTTTAATGCACTTAAAATGAACTCTCGGTACTAATAAGAAACCAAGGGTAATACAAAGTTAGTGCTAGTGAAGATAGTGTGGTCAAAATTGCTACAATTATAACGGCTACAATATTCGCTCTAGGTAGACTGTAACTAGGATTTTTAGCTTCTTCTGCACACGTTGATATTGCATCAAAACCAATGAATACATTAAAACAAATTGCTGTACCACCTATTAAGCCTGGTATTCCAAATGGTAAAAAGTTTGGATTTGGCGATAATTTATCTACTGTAATATTGGGTGAAGTGATATATAAATATTCTGTTTTGCTGTATACAAACATATAGATTGATGTCACTGTTAATACACCAACATTTACAAAAATTGAAACTGCTGTCACTTTTGCACTGCCACGAACTCCACAACAAGATATAGCTGACAATATAATAATCAGCAATACACCGACAAAGTCATAATGTTCAGCTAATACACCACCTGGATGAGATAATCTGTAAAACAAAGTGAATAACCAAATAGCATTAGAGGTAAGTCACCTTAATAAATATTTATAAATAGCTTAGTCAATTCGAAGGTACTTATAGCTCTAGATTCAGCTATAAGTGCCGATTGATAGTTTCCGCATTTGTTTGAATCCTTAGTAAGATACTGATAAGGTCAATCGAAGAAAATAAGAAATTGTTTATCGGTTAAAGCACTTGAATTTTAATTAATTAGTTGTAGACTTAAATTCTTTCTGGCCTAGGGAAGAATGACATTTGCTCTGTGGAGAAACGTAATATGCTGCACAGAATGTTTGAAGGCCCTCTGAGGTCATTGTTTCTATGTAAACTCTAAAGTTCATATACGTCATACTCGCAGTAGCTCAGACGTTATTTAATCTCGTATAGAGATAGAAGGTATATTGCATGCATATCACATCTATTGCATGAATCACCATTTGATTTACATGTTTGATTTGAGGATTGTATCTGCTACAGTTGTCTGAAGCAGATTTAAAAGTACAAACATGCAACTGTCAAAACGATCTTAACTTATGTAAGTTTAGAAAATACTCCCTGTAGATAAAAAAACATGAACACAGTTGTTCACCAGTAAACTTTACATATATTTAAATAAATATATCATCTTTTGTTTCTAAAGTTACAACACACAAGTACGAAAACGCTCCATATAAAATCGCTTCATTTTTACAGTTTATTTAACTAGATAACAATATTGTACTGGAACAGTTACCGAATTTAAGTAAGAACCATGCTAAACTATCTAATGAAATAAACAGAAAGAAGACATTTTACTACGGCGATGAGACAAGGAAATAATAACCTTAGTCCCAAGAAAATAGTACGATTATTTTAGCAGGGTGTTGGAACTTCTATCAAATACATAACAGTTTAGAAACCTCAAGGTAAAGGTTATAGAACCAAGCATAATCGAAGGACAACCCATATATCTTTAGACTCGATTGAAATCGAAGTCGATAATCACGCTAGAATTACATAGCAGAGTTCCATACTAGGACGAAATGGACATCCAGTGCTTCCAGGTTTTCAATGGTGGTTTAAAACTGATTGCTTCACATTCTCAATTATTCCACTTACTGAAAAGGTATTTTTCGTGAGATTACTTTAACAGATGTGCAGTGAAAGTAGTTCTACTTACATCCTATCCAAGGAAGCTATTTCTTAGATGTGCATTATATGTTCAGTAACGTTTCAGCAATAGGATCTACCGTAAGATATATACAGTGTACTTTTTGATTTCTGATAATCCTGTTGTGATGAGCAGTAATGTGAGACAAATGTTTAATGCTCCCTGTTTTTTTTTTAAAAATAATCGTCTTGCTAGAATTAGTCTGAGATGTATATTTTTCACAGAATAAATGTTATAATTGTAATTAACAATTTAGGTAATTTTTTAAATAAATTAGATAAAGAGTATACCTACCTACCAACACTGTGTATTGTCCATTTACTTATATGATTGTCTGCAAGACTGTCAAGCATACTACTCCAGCATCTTGCAACAAGTGATATACCTAGTATATACTCAAGTAGTATTGCCCACCCAGTTATAAAAGCAGGAAATTCACCCATGATAAAATAAATGTATGTATATGAAGAACCAGCCTAAATGAGATGAACAAAGTAAAAAGTAACAAAACGTTAACTAAAAAAAGAATCAATCAAAAATCATATTCATGAACTCCATTAATATATAAAGAAAAACAAACAATGGTAATATTAGTTACTAAATAACCCGCCATATACTATACAATTATATAATAATGTACAGCTTACCTATTATTATGAAAATAATGATAATTCATGTAGAAACCCATATCAATGCTAAAGATTAGCTAACAACCTAAAATGTTTGCAGTATATAATGTATATATGAATATTCTATATTTGATTTAAGTCATTAAAATTTCGTTGTAAAGACTAGAGTATAATAATGGGAGGGAAAAATTCATGTACCTTTTCATAATGCAGTATTGTTCTTAGTTCGTTTCAACTCTCAACTAATTGAGAATTGATTTTCCAATATTTAAAATAGATTCAATAATAATCAATTCGGGAAAAAAGTGTTAACACTCAATAATGTTGAATTTCGATTCAACTTTTCCTGTCACTTTTCGTATCACATTTTATGAACGTTTTCGATTTATTCTAATTGCTAGGTCACTATTTTGGATTTCATACAATGTCATTTCGAGTATAGTTCCTGACAAAGGCAATAATTCATTAAAATATGAGTTTAAAGTTTGTGTTACTGAACAGATATTTGTTCTTCAGATGTATACATCCTGAAACTCTCATGTAATTGAACACACAAAACTCATATCTCATGGTGGGTGAACTATTATTCTTTTGTTCAGTAAAAATCTATTGGTTCATTTTCAAATGGATTGTAGTGACTGTGTAGTGGCATTGGACCATGACCACACTAAAATTGGAGTTGTAACAGATAGAAAAGATACACTGCTATTTTGAAATACAATGATTATTTTGAGACCAAATTATCGTAGTTTTGATCACAGTCTACTTAAGGACAATTTTTCATTAGACATTAATTCACTGACAGAAATGTCTCAGTTACTTAACTGTTTAAAAACTGACAAACTCAGTTGTGTTTACAGTTTTATAAATATAGCCTATGGAAGTATATTATAATATTTTTTTAGTAACTGTACTTTAAATAAATTACTCAATTTTCTTCAGGTGTATGAAATCGATATAAGGAGTATTGTGGTTCATTGTATATTAGTTTCCTATGATTTGTTTACAGCGATAATTATTCATCACAATACATACCACTTTAATGACTATAGGTTCAACTGTCTATCGTTAAGTAAGTTGTGTAACTACATATAAGTAGTGATCGACTGAATTTATCATGTTCATTAGATTTCACTTGATAAATCATCACTAAAATTGTCAGTGATAAAAGAACTGATGTACTGCAAACGATTTATATAGACTAGCCAATGTAATGCTTGTTATAATACTTTATTTATATTTTGACCAGAAAAGCAGCCTCTTATTTAAAGGCAAATGTGAATCATGAAACTAATCACTAATTCATTATGGTCAGCTATGATATCTGTTTAATTGTCAAATATAGCAGTCGACGATAAATTAGTACAGTTACAAAGTTTCAGCCAGCAAATTTCAGGAAAGTTAGAAGTGACAATTTTCTTACCTTTGGTATACGACATGCTAATTCAGAATAGTTTAGAGAATTAAGTAACGCCACGCAACCAGCCAGTATATATGCCAAAAACACTGCAGGCCCAGTTCGTTATTCATTACAGCACCTGTTAGTACATATATACTCCCGCCAAGCATGGATCCTGGAAAAAAAACAATTAATAGTTTCCGTTGTAGGTGTGTAAAACTTATAAATCTGGTCAAATGAGAATTTGTCGCAAATCTCCCAAGTAAAATATGTAGCTTGGATCATGACAAAACTTAGTATTCGACTATATAAGTTGATATAGACCTCTAATTCATTAAGCAACAGCTGTTGTGGTGAAAACGTATGTTTCGAAAATAAAAGTGTACAAATTTCAAGCATGCAACCTTTGATAATGTAACCATGAAGACGTAGATTGATGATTTAGGCACTTGACATACAATCAACAGGTCACAGGTTTGAATACTATTCTATCTATTTTGGTCTAGGCAGCCGGATAATATTACTAGCTCTAACACAGGAACTTGTGCTTGGTAAACGATTTATCCTAAACAAATTACATCAAATTAGCATGCTAACTCGTGCAATTGTACAGGTTTCGATATAAACATCAGATAGACTTTCACGAAGCAAATTTAATTAGATCGCATTTTAGTTTGTGTACCTCAAGGAGACCGTTAGTGGATAAATTTGATTTTGGGGGGGGGGTAAATTTATGTATGTACACTTGCTGATTTTAAATTTGGTGCTAATTTATTTCGAATACACGATCTACCAGTCCTACATTTCATGCCATCTTATGATGAAAGATTTCTTTTAATGAAAACACCTCTAGATTTAGATAAAATATTTACGGGTTAAAGTTGTCGAGGAAATATTAAAGATTAAAGGAGGAGGAGAAGCAGTTACTGTTACGGATATATGTACACAATTTTTGTGATTTAAATAGAAACAGAAAGATTTTGCATTACGAAATACTGTTATATGGAAGATACCTCCAAAATTAAAACTGACAGATTACTGTCAATTTATAATCTCGAAATTAATAATGTTAAGTACTATTAACGTTGTTCTTAATCGAACACAATGTTCCGATATAAGAAATTGGATGTCGAGAAACTAAACAAACAACATTGTTTAAACTCATTGAATTCAATGTCCCACTACCGTCAGTTTCATTTGATGAGAATCATTCCCATTAAAAGTAAGTGTATTTTGTCAATATCTATGAAAGCTAGCCTATGATAAGATTTGAAAGCATTTTACTAATTAGTATATCAGTGATTACTACCCGTTATGTGAAGATAATTAGCTTTTGTTGAGCATTTCATAGGTAGCATTTTTGAGTTAGCATAATGAATATTTGTCAGTCAGTTATTCATAGTTAGTTAATTGCTATAAGGTAGAAACAAAGCTATATTGATATTTTATTCGAAATTTCTACTGTGCAATTTCAAATATCTCATGGCGAAATCAATGTTCTATAGTGTTATGTAATATAGCTTAAGATGGTGGAGAAAATTTGTAGCTCAAGTGGATGATTTTGCTGGAGTTTTGTTCTCTGAGCTCAGAGAACAAATCTTCATCGTAATCTAGCTTAGTGGCTACAATGATTAATTAATTGTGTAGGTCTCAGCCACCATTGAAAGCTAAACAGTATAATCAAACATATTTCTTCTTACTGATATTCTACTGGTAAGCTTAATAGTGACTTCGCATTATATATATATATCATAGCATCAAACGCTTCCTCAGAATGTCGTATTTCATCTGTTATCTCAATCAGTAGTTATATCATTTTATGAAAATCACAAACCGATTCATCCAGTAAAACAAAGTAGCTTAAATAGAAGTAATTACTACTTGGAATAGAGTTAACTAAACCAAAACATACAATCAATATTACAAAAAGTTTTTTTTTGTCTTACTCATTTATGCATAATAATTTATTACATAAGGGTATACGTGATAATTAAATGTATTAATTTTGTAATTTTTTGTTGTTCATATATTAATAAAATCAATAAGTGAATGAAGTTTATCAATGAAGTTTATTAAACCGAATGAATATTAATCAACAACGACAACAACAACAACAACAACAAGAACTACAGCAACAACAACAATTCGATATGCGGGTTAATTGATAAATTTTAATAAAAAGTAATATGAATGAGCCTTTTTCAACAGTGACTAATATGACAACCAAGTATATTGTACGAGCTAGACACTATCAAGAATAAATTTTATTGTGTGAAATAAGACTGATAAAATGACTATTAGAGACAGTTTTTTTAATTATGGAAACATTTACTGATATTACTAACTAGTCCATGTTAGATATCTATTAAAAACTAGGAAGCACTGGTTAGTCATTTCATCCTAGTATGAGATTATTCGACAGTGTATTTCAATGAACCATTGGAGAACCTTCAAGTTCTAGATCTTTGAACAAGCATCCAGTTCAATCCACAACATTGAGCAAGAAGTTTTACAGGCTTGTAGAAATTCCCTCAAATATGGCAAGTAGATCATGTTATTGAAATGAAAGTTATATCGAAATCTTACGACAGCTAAAAGTTGTCCTAAATTATTTTACTCACTAGATGTTGGATTAAGTTGTAGAATTTGTGAGATCGCCGAATATACAATACTCTTGGAAACCTGAAAAAAATAAGTTCGCCTCACTAACAACTTAAACTAAGCTGGCTAACATGCTATTTTCAAACTCAATGAAGTTTTATTTATCTTCAGAAGGGGTTTGTGGAGATTTCAGAAATTTCACAGATTGAAATCATGAGTCAATTGAAACTACACCACCATGGAAAACCTGGAAGCACTGGACGGCCGTTTCGTCCTGGTATGCGACTCCTCAGCAGTGTGCATCCACGATCCCGCACCCCGCGAGATTCGAACCCAGGACCTATCATGGTGATCTAGCTTCAAATGACTCATGATTTCAATCTGTGAAATTTCTAAAAACCCCACAAACCCCTTCTGATAATAATCATCTGTTCACTAGTGACTGACTTCAAGAGATACTCCTGGAGTTCTAGTGAAAAGCCGTTACCAGTGGAGTTCAACCAGGTCTGTTGTGAGATATCAGCTCACTGAAGACAATGGTATACGGTAGCGCAACTTCGTGGATTGGTTGAAGTTAGACATTAACACGATTGGATGCCGGCTCAGTGGTTTTATTTATTTATTTATTTTTATCACGCATCTTAAATTTTCTTTTAGGTAATATGTATATTCCAGTGATGATATACATAAATGTTTACTTATGAATAGTATTATAGTTGAAATCTAAAAAAGACGTTACTGGAAACATTTCAGAAAAACATGTGTGAGTTAATTTTAAAAAAGAAAAACAAATACTAACTATTTCACGAAAACAAAGATTGTCATGTGTAAACGTGTCGACATTTATTGATTGAATTGAAAAGTTAATTTTTTTAATTACTAGTTTAAATGAAATACTTTTAAGGATATTAAAGTGGGACACTTAAGCGAAGAATATCTTCTTCTGAATGATATCATTTATGAAAACTGGTACAGTCATATTTGAAGTCATTTTTGCATTGTCTATAATAAGATAGAAAATTATCGAATCTTTAATAAAAGTATTACAAGTACTTACTTACTTACGCCTGTTACTCCCAATGGAGCATAGGCCGCCGCCGACCATTCTCCAACCCACTCTGTCCTGGGCCTTCTTTTCTAGTTCCATCCAATTCTTGTTCATTTTTCTCATGTCTATCTCCATTTCCCGGTGTAATGTGTTCTTTGATCTTCCTATTTTCCTTTGGCCTTGAGGATTCCATGTGAGGGCTTGTCTTGTGACGCAGTTCGGTGCTTCCTCAATGTGTGTCCTATCCACTTCCAGCTCTTCTTCCTAATTTCTACCTCCACTGGAATCTGATCTGTTCTCTCCCACAGTACGTTGTTGCTAATAGTGTCCGGCCAACGGATCCGAAGTATTTTGAGTAGACAACTGTTAATAAACACCTGTATTTTCTGAATGATGGCTTTCGTAGTTTTCCAGGTTTCCGCCCCATACAGTAGACTGTCTTGACATTTGTATTGAAAATTCTGACCTTGGTGTTGGTTGACAGTTGTTTTGAGTTCCAGATGTTCCTCAGTTATAAATATGCTGCTCTTGCTTTGCCGATCCGCGCCTTCACATCTGCATCAGATCCATCCTGTTCATCAATGATGCTGCCCAGATATGTAAAGATTTTTGCATCTTCAAATCTTCTCCGTCAATTGTGATTGGACTGGTGCATTTTGTGTTGTATCGGAGAATTTTGATTTTCCCTTTGTGTATATTGAGACCTACTGCTGCTGAGGCTGCTGCTACACTGGTCGTCATCTCCTGCATTTGTTGTTGCGTTTGGGATAGAAGGGCCAGATCATCTGCGAAATCTAGATCGTCCAACTACATTCTAGATGTCAACTGTATCCCGAAAAGTATTACAAGTGGCGAGATTATAATTTATGGACGAACTAATCAGATTTAAAATAGCAGGTCTTGGGTTTTTGTGCGAAATTCATTCACTCATTTAGCTTAATACTATTTTGTCAGCTCGTGATGAAAATATTAAATCTTATTCCTAACCCCAACGTTCAACGGTTAATCCGATTCCTAAATCCTCTTACTAATCTATAACCCTTACTTAACCATAGTAAATAGGTGGATGTTTCAAGGTCCTTTTAGGGCTGTCCAAAGGTCGTCCATAAATTATAGCTTTACCGTTATAAGTTAATATGAAACGTTTTTAAGTTATCTATCAGTCAAAAGTTTAATAAGAATGAAAATAAAATATAGAGCAGAGATGTGAAAAGTTGTCATCCATCTAATGAATATGAAGAAGATAAAGATGACGAATACAAGTCAAAAGTAAGTTATGAAATACGAGGAGAGATAGAAAAACCGTGGTAAGTTAACGGATTGGATAAATTGCTTCCAAATAAAAAGACCAGGCTTAAAATTATGAACTGGCAAATCCTTTGATACGCATAAGTTTCTTATCCGGCCTTCCTAAACAACTAGCTGTTATAACTTTATCAATAGTTTTAAAATAAAGATTTCTTTGGAGATAGATGATTAGAATTTACCAGATAATCAGCATTGAAACTACTGGTTGGTTCGCCTTC